ATTTGATATCTTTGAACCGTCGATCTTTGGTGTATACCTAGACAAACATAAGTCACACAATCAGTCCTTAACCGTCTTTGGTTCTCATTGTTGTGTTCGTTTCAGCCATGAAAACCGCCTGGTTTCATAAGTGCGTAGAGAACTGGCCTTACAAAGTTCTCCTTGAAGCGGCTAACACTTCACACTTACATAGGTGATTCCTAAACGTGTCATCCTGTAGATACACTATTTGATATACCCCGTATCAAATTTAAAAATAATTAAAAAGCCTTAATGCTTTATCCTTGGCACTGAACATTGTCTCATCACGAGAACGAACTAAAATTTATTTGACAATATTAAACCGTCATTAATGACTTTGTTTGATCTCCTTGAACCTAGATCTTGGGATCTCCAGTCTTCTATGTAGAGTTACCGCCACAATGACTTGTTCTCGGCCATAGCCCCATTCCCCTTGATGATTTCTCAACTACCTCTCTAGTTAGGACTTTTGTAAGTGGATCCGATACATTATCACTTGACTTTACATAGTCAATTGTGATAATTCCTCTAGAGAGTAATTGTCGCCGAAGCCGAAGCCGAGCAGAGCGAGCGACGACGACGACGGCGCGAGGCTTGCTTTCTTCTTAACTCTTTAAGAGCTACAAGAAGAGCAATTATATATATACCCACCAAAAATCTTTTCCTCTTCCAATATGGGACAATGTCTCATTGTCAAGAGGGGGAAACTTAAAATTTTACTCAAAAATTTTATTTTCCCTCCATTTCCCATTCACCCTCATTTTAAGACTATTTCATCTTAAATAACAAAAACCTCAATAATTTCTTCACCATGTCTTCAGCATTTCCATGATCGGCCCTAACTAGATATATTCCACCCACTTGTTCAATTCCGTTGAGGATCATCTGCAAGTAGCACAAGTCAAAAACATTAAATTAATTTACAAACTCAATTCTGATAGGCAAAAATAATAAGGACTCAGCCAGGTATCAAGAAAAATGTGTGCGGGAGATATCATATAGCTTGATTTTGATCATATGCTTAACTGACATCTGAAATAGTTAAAAGTCATCCTAAATTGGTTTGGAAATGAATTAACGCAATCTTAAACGTCGTAAAAGCCTCCCTCACTTTGACAAACTAATGATTAGGGAACATTGCCTAGTTGAAGGGTCAAACTACACAGGAGCGGAGCTAGTGAATAAGATAAGAACTTAATAACTTTAGTCTAAACTCTGTATTTGTCTAAAGAAATTCATTTAACATGTACAAATTATTAATTTAGAACCTAATAACTTAAAAGTGCTAAAATCTCAAACCCACAAGCTCAAATCTTGGCTTCATCTCTGAAACTACTCATAAAACGACTCCAAACTTTGCCGAGCATTTCCATGACATGTGAAGGTAGGTTTACACGTACCTAGTAAATAAATTACAAACAGAATATAAGCTTCCCTTTTCTTTTATCTTTTTTTCTTTTTCTAACCTCTTACAAGAAACTCTTGATATATACCTGATCAAATTTGCAGCTTAGTATAGCATCCCAAGCCTTTTCAGCAATCTCTAAGGCCTTCATATTTGGCTTAACGTTGAATGTTATCCCACTGTCACTTGGAATTTCAACATACTCTTCAGTTTCTTGCTTAAAATACCCCAACGGATTTCCATTCCAGAAAAAGGTGACATGACCAAATTTAACAGTTTCGCTGTTGAAGAGAATAAAGATCATGGATTAATACCAGCTTAAAATAAGTTCAACCATTCTAAGTGTTTCCACTTATACAGAATTGAAACATTGCATGAATACCATATTATCTTCCTAACAAGCTCATATTTGCTTCTTTTATATTTTTTTTCCCAGGCTCTGGGAGTTGGGAATTCATTTTCAGCCTTTATTTAAAATCTAGAATCTCTAGTTTCTGTAAGAACATTGTACATAACACATTTCAAGGAAAATTGGTGTATAGAAACACTGGACATGTTTTAAACCTTTGCATTTCTGTAAGAACAATTTACAGAAACATATTCCAAGCAAACAATGGGTAAATGTTCCCAAGAAAGCTTTGTATTTAAAGCTCGAGCAATTGAACAGAGAAACATCAACATCTATAAGGATTTAGAACTTCAAATTTCCATTTTCACCTTTGTGAGATAATGGATGATATATGGAAATCTGTTTATGAGACACTTGATCTAATTCATTGAACTTCAATCTATTTTTATAAACTCTCTCTCCTTGCTCTCTCTCTCTCTCCCTCCTTGCTCTCTAACGTCTTTCTGCCCCAACCCACCCTCCCCACGTACGGATTTGAGTACAAAAGGCCCACCCCAGAGAGCGAATAGTGTTTTTTCACCACGCGGCTTAATCCGGCGACCCACACCGGAAATAGTCATCGGAAACCAGCCAGATAAGTAGTCTTTCTCTCTCCTCTCTTTCCCCCACGCCGAAAACCCTTCTCTTTCAATCCCTCCCTCTCCTTTTCCCGTTCTTTGCTGTTTTCCCCCATCTATCTTTCGCCCCTATTTTTCCCCCTTCTTTGTTTCTCCTCTCTTTCCCCTCTCCACTGCTCTGCCCCTCTCTTGCCTTCCCGTTTCACCTCTGCTGCCCACTGTACAGTGGCATTAGAGGCAGCGAGACCCCCTTTCTTCTTCTCCTTCCATTTCCTAGGTCAGTCAGAGTAGCGCGTCGGGTTCACTGGTGCAATTTAGCAGTTTCAACTAGAGGCAATGGTGGTAACAGACGTTGTTTGGTTCTTCAGCAATGCCTCGACTCCCCGACTATATCCAGGTTCTTTCCCTCTGGAGTTGGTACCTCTGGGCATCCAGTCACTTTTTCTTATCTCCCTTCATTGTTAGTAATTATTTGTTCTAGTTAAGGTAATTTTTTGCAAGATTACCCGTACCCTAAAGTAGTGTCGTCTAGTCTACTTCAGATTGCTTATCTTTCCCTGCCGATTAGTTGAGTTACTTCCATTTCATGGGTGTTCAATTGAACTTGTACATGTTTTTCGTATATGTACTTGTAACTAGTGCTCTAAGATAAAAAATTTAGTTTACTTCTTTAGTCTGACTATTACCTTGTATTAGTGATAATTTTGGATTTGTCTCCCTTACGATCTAGTGGCTGGAGTAGTTGATGGAGGAGTAAGGTCTTGTTCTCAAGTGAGGCGGGGTGCGGGGTGCAAGGGTGACAAGGGTGCTTCGAGGCAGAGAGTTGGGTCGTAGAACATAGGTACTTTGACGGGCAAATCTATATAGTTAGCGAAGATCCTCTAGAAGAGGAATATTAGTATTGCCTGCATCCAGGAGACTAGGTGGGTGGGGTCTAGGGCACGGGATGTTGACAGGTATAAACTGTGGTACTCAGGTAGTGTGAGGGGTATGAACGGGGTATGTATATTAGTGGATGGAGAACTCGGGATCTTGTGGTTGAGGTTAGGAGGGTGAACGACAAGTTGATGACTATTAAATTAGTTGTTGGAGAGTTTATGTTGAACGTTATTAGTGCCTACACCCCCCAAGTAGGATTGGGCAAGGAGGTCGAAAGGCATTTTTGGGATGAGCTGGATGAGGTTGTGCGTGGTATCCCGCTTAATGAGAAGCTGTTTATAGGAGGGGACTTCAATGGCCACATCAGGTTGACTTCCCAGGGTTATGATGATGTGCATGACGGCTTCGATTTTGGGGTTAGAAATGGAGGTTGTACTTTGTTGTTGGATTTTGCAAAGGCTTTTGATTTGGTGATAGCTAACTCAGGTTTTCGGAAGAATGAGGAGAATTTGGTGACATTTCAGAACACGGTGGCCCAGACCTAGATTGACTACCTACTCCTTAGGAATTGCGATAGAGGTCTTTGCACGAATTGCAAGGTTATTCCAAGTGAGAATCTCTCAATACAACACAGGCTCTCGGTGATGGATTTGAAGATCAGGAGGAAGAGGAAGAAGAGGGTTGTGTTCGGTCTACCCAAGATCAAGTGGGTAACCTTGACTAAGGACACAGTTCGGGCGCTAGCGGAGAAGCTGAAGGCTATGGGGTCATGGAAGAGTAGTGGGGACACGAGTGATAATGTGGACTTTGACAGGAAACTGCATTAGGGAAGCTACTAGAGTGATGCTAGGGGTCTCGAGAGGATACATTGGAGGTCACAAAGGGGATTGGTGATGGAATGGAGAGGTCCAAGGTAAGATAGAAGCCAAGAAAACGGCGTACTTGAAATTGGTAGAGAGCAAGGAAGAAGAGGACGAACAGGGAGTTGTACAAGAGGCCAAGAAAGACACGAAGTTAGTAGTTACAGCGGCTAAAACGACAACATTTGGACGTTTGTATGAAGAACTTAGTGACAAGGGTGGAGATAAGTAGGTGCACAAGCTAGAAAAGGTGAGAGAAAGGAAGGCCTGTGACCTGAATCAGGTGAAGTGCATCAAAGATGAGGATGGAAGAGTATTGATGGATGATGTGCATATTAGACGTAAAGACATACTTTCATAAACTCCTATATGAATAGGAGGATAGTGGTATTGTGTTGGATGATTTGGAGCACTTCGAGAGTCGTCGTGACTTTAGTTTTTGTAAGCGTATCAAAATCGAGAAATTCAAGGGGGCTATGCGTAAGATGTGTAGGGGAAGAGCGACTAGGCCAGATGAAATTCCAGTAGAATTTTGGAAGAGCATGGCTAGAGCTGGCTTGGAATAGATCACTAAGTTATTTAACACCATCTTTAGGACGAAGAAAACGACTGAGGAATGGAGGTGGAGTACGATATCCAAAATTGTAACAACTATAGGAGTATCAAGCTGTTGAGCCACACTATGAAAGTTTGGGCGAGAGTGGTGGAAGCGAGGGTGAGGAAAAGTGTATATATTTCCGAAAACCAGTTCGAATTTATGTCGGGACGTTCGACTACAGAAATTATTCACCTTATAAGGAGGTTGGTGGAGCAATATAGGGAGAGGAAGAGAAACTTACATATGATTTTTATTGATCTAGAGAACGCATACGACAAAGTTCCGATGGAGATTCTATGGAGCTGTTTGGAGGCTAGGGGTTACCCAGTGGCTTACACTGGGGTGATTAAGGACATGTATGATGGAGCAAAGACACGAGTTAGGACCGTAGGGGGATAGGGGGGTTCGGACCACTTTTGAGTTATGATAGGGTTACACCAGGGGTCGACTGTTAGCCCGTTCTTATTTGCCTTGGCGTTGGACACACTGACACGCCACATTCAAGAGGAGGTACCGTGCTGTATGTTATTTGTGGATGATATTGTTCTGATTTAAGATATGCGAGGCAGAGTTAACGCGAGACTGGAGGTTTGGAGACAGACCTTGGAGTCTAAAGGTTTCAAGTTGAGTAGGACAAAGACTGAGTACTTGGAGTGCAATTTCAGTGACAAAACTGAGGGTACGGATATCGACATGAGGCTTGATACACAAGTCATCCCTAAGAGAGCTAGTTTCAAGTACGTTGGGTCTATTATCCAAGGAAATGAGGAGATTGTTGAAGATGTTACTCATCGTATTGGAGCGGGTGGATGTAATGGAGACTCGCATCCGATGTTTTATATGATAAGAATGTGCTACCTAAACTTAAGGGTAAGTTTTATAGAGTGGTTGTGAGACCTACCATGTTGTACGGAGCATAGTGATGGCCAGTCAAGAACTCTCATGTCTAGAAGATAAAAGTAGCAGAAATGATGATGTTCAGATGGATGTGCGGACATATCAGGATTGATAAGTTAAAAATGATGATATTCGGGACAAGGTAGGAGTAGCTTCGGTGGAGGACAAGATGCGAGAAGGGAGGGTTAAATAGTTTGGTCATGTGAAGAGGAGAAACACAGATGCTCCAGTGAGGAGGTGTGAGGTTGGCCTCGGGTAGGGATAGAGGTAGGCCAAAGAAGTATTGGGAAAAGGTAATTAGGAAGGACTTGGCGTTGCTTCAGCTCACTGAGGACATGACCCTTGATAGGAAGGTGTGAAGGTCGAGGATTAGGTTAGAAGGTTAGTAAGTAGTCGAGTGTGTGACTTCCCCATACCGGTAGCAGTAGTAGTCAGCCTTGTATTAGGTTATTGATAGTCTTGATTACTACATGTTTTCTTCTTATATTGCTGTTGATACTGCTTGTTCTCTTATTATCTTATTATTGTTACTGCTTGTTTTCTTATTATCTTGTTTTGGTTTTGCTTGTTGTTACTGCTTTCTTTTTCTTTCCTTGAGTCGGGGGTTTAGCAGAAACAGTCTCTCTACTCAAGGTAGGGGTAAGGTCTGCGTACACACTATCCTCCCCAAACCCCACTCGTAGAATTATACTAGGTTTGTTGTTGTTGATGTTGTTTATGAGACACTTCATAGATTAGGTTCTATTGTTTTTGAGAAATGCAACTTTCTTGTTCTGCAATTTCTAACTTTTTGTTTTTGGGAGATTGTGAATCTTTTTTTTTTATTTCTCATATTGTTTTAAAAATAAGCTGAACATAACGTTGTTTACCAGAAGCTTTAACTCAAATACGCGGTGTACTCTTTTTTCCTTAAAAGATTTTGTCCCACTGGATTTTCCTTGCAAGGTTTTTAATGAGGCAACCAAAAAGCGTATTTCTAATAAGGTTTTAACGAGGCACATTATCTATGGACATCCAAGGGGGAGTGTTATAAGAAATATCAAATTATAGTGGATGTCTACTCTTCCTCCATGATCTTCATCTCAAATGCTTAATGACATATTCAATGACATATTTTCTTCACTTTTCATGCCTATATAAAGGCCTTGTAATAGATAGAAAAATACACACAATTGAAGAAGAAATAAAAATCTCTTGTCTCTTTCTCTATATATCTCGTAGTTTATTTTTCCTTGTTCCATATTATTACTTTGAGTTATATTTTATAACATTTATATTATATTCAATTGTTGCTAGCTTATTATATATATAAGTGGTCTCGGATGACACCCCTTACGGAAGATGACTCATCCACCTATTGAGACCAAATTCCCAAAAACTAAGAATCTCTTACGATTCGAAAACCAAGTGAGAGACTACTACACGCCTCGATAAAAGCAAATATACAAGAAATACCTCAACAAGTGGTGGACAAGGAAGAGATGTTTTTGCAAAAGCCATTCGGTTTCCAAGCCACTCGGTTCTTGCGGCAACTTGAGTTGGCTTGAACGTGTATAGGGTCATCTCTTAAAGCTAGGGTAAGTTCAAAAGACTCCTTCACTACCAATTTGGTTGTTATCATGAGTGCCAGCATTATTAAGAAGGTATCCTTGATTGCCCCAAGTTTTTGGCTACGGAAACTAAGTTGGGATCCGTTATATGTATCTACAGAGAGAATGTGATGACAACTACGACGACGATGATGCATCAAAGGTGGCACCTGCAGCGTGATGTTTTACTATTAGTTTTTACAACAACATATTAGCTAGAAATATACAATAGCTAGGTTCCCATGTTTTAATATTAGTTTCTAGAGGGAACTAGGTTAACATCTTAGAGAGAGAGAGAGTGTGAAGTGAATTACGTCTGGAATAAGATTATAAGAGTCCTGGTCTAACTTTTGAATGAAGAATTGGAGTGGATCAGTATTAGGATTAGTGGTGTGTTTTAATTTTCATTTTATCACGTTTGCAGATAATAATGTATTTAACACAAACACTTTTGTTATATTGATTCTAATATTTAAGATGGACTTCCTGTTACTGCGTGGACCTGGAACTTAGTTAACATGTGACTTAGATTTTGTTTACCCTCAAAATCGGATAACAGTTGAATTTGTAAGTGATTTTAAGGATATGTAGATTAACTTGATGCTAAGTGATAAATTGAGATGCAATTGAAATAAATAACGACAAAGTAAATTCAAACCACACGAATTAGACAATTTCAGTCTTGGAAGACCAGTCACCCTTACACCGGATGTACTTTGATCGGTCTTAAGATACAGATGAATAAGAGCTTATAGAGAAAAATAATAATATATTACTTTATAGTGCGTGTTATCATGTATTTTATGAATTATCAGACCCCCTTATATAATAGAGGAGTCCTACTTTAGGTACAATTCTATAAACGGTAAATAAATCTCTTGATTTTCTAATTGACGATCCCTTATCGATACGTGCCGTGATTCCCGCCGTAATATCCGACCGGTCACGGATATTTCGTCCTTCTGTTGGCTATGCTAATAATGTTTCTTCGAACTCGTTCGAGGCTAGGACCGATTTCGTGATCACGGTTTCAATATTCTATGAAGGCAGGCGTTCTGTCCCCGGGTTCTAACCCGATGGGACTTGTGGTCGATCTTCATCCCTTTATTGACACGTATCGAGCCTGATCTACTATGTCGCAGGCGAGCTCGATTTTGGTCATATACAGATAGTCCTCTCATTGTTTGGAGAGTAGACGACGAGAAACAACATGAGCTTCCGATTCTTACTTCGATATCCCGTGACGGAAATGACAAAACAAATGAAACGATTAAATGCTTGTCAGCCGCCGGTCGGCTATTCCTGGATACGAACCGTCGCTGAAAAACTATAAATACCTCTTCCTTGGTTCATTTAAACTTAACATCCAAGCCTTCTACCCTTGTACCTTAGAAATCTCAATACTTTCTGGCACTTATATCCCGGTTATTTGAGATCTTTTGTAAGAACTCTTGTTCGTCATCATCTCAAGCCATCAAGTGCATTACTTTAACTTCATCTTTTTCCTCATTTTCCCTCTATTTTTCAATGAAATTACAAAGACTTCAAAAACTCTTCCCAAAAAGAAACTCCTTCTTCCTTGCGGCCGGCTGCCGAGGCCG